GTAAAACCACACTGAGACATCTACCCACCAGCACAGGAAGATATAAGAGCCAAACCCCACCAAGTGTTGGCGGGGACCTGAAGCCACAGTACCTGTCCTGCTAGGAGTATGACCTGGCTCCAGAGTCACAAGTGGTCAGCAGAAGGGCTGGAAAGAAGAGAGCGCTGATACCCACTATGTTAGAGTTCTAAGCAGCCAATTTTGCTTTCTACCTGTCACAGTTGGGGACCCTCATCCTCCCTGCCCCCTCTGCAAAAAATTAAAGAACCAAAGACAAGGATGGCAGCGCAAGTAGTTTACTTACTTGGGAGGTGACCTCAGAAAGCTGAAGTGATGAAGGAAGAAGAGAGAGACAGGGACGCAGAGAAGGCCAAAAGGAATGTGTTCTAAGCTGGTTGCTGCTATGGGCAACGAAGGCCCTTAGGGCTGCTAGGAACCCTCTGAAGAGCCATGGAGGCTACTCCGTGCCCCTCAGAAGGATGAGAGCCTAGAGCACTTATCTGCCGACTCCTATCCTACCGCTTGAGGGCTACCTGGTTCTACCATCAGCTCAGGACCTGCAGTCAACAGCCCTCAAAAGGTCCGGATATTACCCTTTCCTTGATGTACAGTTAGTCTGACAAAGAGCTGCAGCTCCCTTGAGGAAGGACTGGGGGAACATTTGTCTATACCTGCAGGCATGTTGCGAAGTACTTCTTCAAAGAGATCCAGCCTCCCTCTCAATCCATGGGATATGGGTCTGAAAGCTCACATCTGAAAACCAGGTGATGAACAGTGATTTCTCCATTGCAGCAGCGGACATCAGCCTACTTGCCAGTGCTTGGGTTTTTTTCCTGGTTATATGAGTCAAGCAGTGCCCTAACTGGCTGTCCATCTGTGCCGCCCTTACAACTCCATGCTCTATTAGCATCACAGTGGGTCAGACACACTGGCTGCCAAGTCGGGTCTTGATGCCCATACGGGTATTGTGTCTACCTTAGCTCTGATGGTTAGTGCCACCAGCCTGAAGAGGCGTCTGCTCTATCAGAATGTTATCATCTCCATAGACACTTGGGAGCCAGTTCCGTGGTCGCATCTCCTGAAGTCAATCTTGGCCTAGCTGACCCTAGGGCAGGCAACAGTGAGCTTCTCAAAGATGCTGGGCCCCCTACTGGGCAAGCCAAATATCCAGAGAGAAGGGGGTGCACTTTCCAGGGAACCTGGATAAACAGTGCATCTCTAGCCTTAAAAAATAAATCTACTTCAAATCTCCACCTCCAATGTCCTTCTGACCCTTTCCTCAATACTCTGCGGAGACAGCTCTGGTTTTCTCAGCCTCAGCACTACCGACATTTTGGGCCAAATAAATCTTCTTTGTGGGGAGCTGTTCTGTAAAATGTAGAAAGTTCGGCAGCACCCTAGTTTCTGTTCAGCAGAAGCCAGAAGCAACCCTTAGTTGTGACAACTAAAAATATATCCAGACACTGCCAAATATTCCCTGGGGAGTCAAAATCATCCCCAGCTGAGAACGAGTGGTACTGGCCAAGCAACGAGGAGCCGGCCTAGTGGCTTATTAGGACTGGCTCTAGCCGCCCTTGCTGGGTCCTTAAATCCTGAATCCTAGGAGAATGCCCCCAAGGCAAACAAGCTCTCCCTTCCAGCCTGAGAGTCAACCAGTACCCCTACACTCTTGGTCTAGCACCCTCAAGATTCACTCTCACACGTGCTCCCCCATTTCCAGCTGGTCCACAGGAATCAGGCCCTACAATTCTTTCAATGCAAAAGCTAATTCCCCATGCTTGCCTGCTTCGGTAATGCTGACATCTGAAGGGAGGAGAGGCAGATCTTGAGGAGGATAAGCAGCATCTAGCAAGGCACCTGCCTCAAGTGAGGTCTCTGCATAGTGTCCAGGCAAGGAAAAGTTGCTCTCCTCTATAATAGGGAGGTGGAGACTTCTGCTGGCCCAGATGATCTAGGAAACTGGGAGTTCAAAGCTCTCAGTGTCTGCACCCAAATATCTCCACCCCAGGTCTCACTCCTGACTTTAGCAGAAGCAGCCTGTGTAAGGCGTGCACTCAGCTTCCTTTGCAGCTCTGCCATAATTATGACTACGTGCGTCCACACAGTCTGCCTTCCAGCTACAGAAGGTGCTGCCACGGAGCCTTCTGTCTTTCACAGGGTGTCTGGAGTTGACATCTGGCTGATCTGAACCTGATCTTACCTCAAGGCCTCTGAGGGAGATTAAAAAAAAGAGTCAGCCCATTCCACTATCCTTACCATCACCATTTTCCACATTTTGGTCAAGTGCGAGAGCCACCATAGTAGCCGGTGGCTTCCCTTCTACCTGAACCTCAGCCCGATCCGCCACTGGTGAGTCTTGCCATTGGGATGCTAGAGCACCCGCGTTACCCACGCCTCCCTTACCACCGGCAAAGGGGTCTGTGTTGCCATCTGAGGGTGAGTGAGTCTAGTTTCACAGTACTATTCGCAGAGCCTGCTTTCAAGAGTCACTTCTAGTACCAACTGTCTAAACTTATGTTCTGCCAAACTAAGAAAAAGTGACTTGTGTGCAAGGAGCTTGCAGAAGGTAATCCAAAAAGCCAGAGAGGAGTCAGGGAATAACAGATAACCATTAGTGTTCACTGTGGAGCTGGCTACCATACTAAACTGGATAAACGGGGCTCAGCTCTGCTAGGGTCCCTCTGAAAAATGCACCTTGGAACTGCACCTTTGAGGGGTAGGGAGCCACAGCCTCACATTTCTGAGGTACGCCTACACAGGCTAAGTAAGTTCCCAGAAGTCTGTGCCAAACGGCTGAGAGAGATGGTGAGAGCTTCAGGTAGACCAAAAACTCAATAAAAGAGACAAGGTAAAAAAAGCCTTAAATGAAAAAGAAAAGGATGAGAAATGATGGAAAAAAGGCCTCTTACTACGTGGTGTGTTAGAAAATCTTCCCTGTGAGCAGCCACATACCTTTTACATACTTCATTTACACACTTGCCACATTATATTAATTAGTTAAGCAATTGCAAGTCTGTCCCCTCTGCGGGCTGTGATTTCCTTGTAGTCAACGTTTTGGGGTTGTTGTTTTTTTTCTGTTCAGTATTCTCAGCATCTAATGGCATATCTAGAACACATTTCAAATAACCATAAATGTCTGTCGAATGAATGTCTCTATCCTTCCCAGTTCCATCAGTGCACACACCACTCAGGGTCCAAGTTTTGAGTTATTATACGGTGACAAAATGATTATTTTCCTTCTTGAATTAGAATTTCCAAAGGGGGTGGGGAATGGCTAGGTAAAGACTGAATTTTCAGTGTGTGTCCCTAAACACCCTCCTCTCCCCTAACACTGACCGCTGAGGAAGATAGACCAAAAGGAATCTCCCACTAATGAATGTTTATTCCCTGTAATACCATAACCTGGATCAAAACAGGAATTTCACAACAAAGATCTTCAAACTTTACCCTCCCTGAAACCCATCAAACCTCGCCCTGTGAAACCCTGGTATCATCTGTCCGGCTGGCAGGCACTGAGTCACTGGAAAAACATTTTAACCCCACTCCACTGTCCAGATGAGATGCATTTTCTGTTCCTGGAATTATTTATTCCTAAAATTTGCCTGAATATCCTTTCTTTGGTACTTCAGCCTATATCCAATCCACTTAGTCCAAAGTTTTGAGTCATAATCTCTTACATTGACCTTCTTAGAAAAGCACTCACAGCGAACTCCCAGGACCAGTGCTGCTAGAACTTAACCCAACTGTGCCTGAAAACAAAGGAAAATCTCCAATTCATTGTCTTACCTGATAGAGTTCTTTATCATTAAAGTTATATTGTGACTAACCAGCTCTAAAAATGGGTTTACAATTTAAAACAAACAACAAACGGTGCCCCTTTGTTAGTGGGATTATACAAGAATCAATTCAATGCATATAATTAAAATAGCTCAAAACTAAACTTTACTGAGGATTTACTACATGCCAAAATCTGTTTTAAGCATTTTGAGTTAACTTATGTAGTCTTCCTAACAGTGCCGTGTGACAAGCTATTATTGTCCTCATTTTACAGACAGGGGAATTGCGACAGCAAGGCTAAGTAAGTAACGTGCCCAAAGGTACACAACTAGAAAATGCCAGTGCTAGGGTGCGAGGATGGCAGCCTGGCTCTGGAGCCTAGGTTCTTAAAAGCCTGGATTAGATCAATTTTTCTCACTCCTCAATTAGCAAAGCCAGCATAACCTGACAGGAGAAAATTCATCCATTCATACCAGCATACAAAATGAGAGGGCTTAAATCAGTGGAAGTGGGAAATGACGGGAAATGACTCATGTATTACCGTAAATAGCCTTTGAGCTCTGAAATTTACAAACCAAGTCCAGTTTAAGTCCTTAGAGCACTCGACTTAGACACAAAATCGACTCAAGCAATTATTTGAGCCTCAAAACGTTTACATAGATCCATTTCCCACCGCCAGTGGGAAAACTCCATAGGCTTCAAGTCGATGCCCAGAGCCCAGACACCCTTGGCCACCTTCCCCACCTAGTCCTCTTTCCGAAGCGGCCGGGGCACAGTGCACCAAGTTCTGCCCATGGCATCCAGCACTGACTTGGATGCCACAGGCCACCGCTGAACGCAGGGCACAAGAAATTTCCGTGGGAGCAAACAGCTCGCCGAAAGGAGGTGGGAGCGGCCACGGCGGAGCGTGGGCCCCGCGGGAAAAGGAAGCTGCAGGGCCCGGGAGAAATGAAAGGAGCGGACAGGGAAAAGCACTGGACCGGAAAGACAGGTGAGCACCAAGCGCTGGGCAAGCCAGGTGAAGAAGGCGGTGCAGAAATCAAAGCGCTCCAAAAGTGGTAAATCGCTGTGAGCGGCCGTGCGAGGGTGGCGGACGCCTCTCGTAGCCCTCGGGCCTCTGCACCGACCGCGCTTCCCCGGCGACCGGGGCCAGACTCCGCCGCGGCCCGGGGAGGCCCGAGCCCGCAGCTTAGCACCCGCGGGCCCTTCTGCGCTGAGCTTACCTCGGCCACGGCTGCCTCCCGCGCGGCCCCGCGCTCGGTCACCGGCTCATGCCGCAGGATGCGGGCCACGGCAGCCCGTTGGGGAGCGCGGCCAGTCGGCGGCCGCCACCGCAGGGGCCAGGGCTACGCGAGCCAGCGAGAAGTGTTCCGCCGGCTACCCGGCGCGGCGTCTGACACCTAGTGCATTGCGCATGCGTGAGCGGCGCGGGCCCGCGCCCCCTGCTGGACAGGAGGAGTCAGAGCACGCTTTTTTCCGAAGCAGGCGGTTCAAACTCAGGCTCCATAGTGAAACGCAAAGCCAGGCAGCCTTGTTCATAATTTTAAAAAACTTCAAACTGAAACAACGAGGCAGTATGCTTCACTTACAAAACTTCCGAAACCGACAAAACTGTAGTATTTTATTATAATCAGTACCGGAGAGCGTGCGACATCCCTGGAAGGCAGTTGGCAGTATCCATCAAATGTAAAATGCGGTAAACCTTCCCCCGGCTATCCTTCTTTATGAGGTTTACCCTATGGATATTCTCAACAATGTTTATCGAAAACATTCTTTACAGCATTATTTCTAATAATAGCAAAAACTGAACACAACCAAAATAAATGATTAGAATGGAATAATTCAAGAATGCATATATGTGTTGGCTTGGAATTATCTTCCAGGTATGTTCACAGGAAAGTATGGTCCAAAACGGTGGGCAAGTATAACCCCCTTTATGTTAAAAGCAAAAAAGAAAAAGAAAAAGAAAAAGAAAAGAAAAGAAACACATAAGAAGCATATATACACATACATATATATAAAACAAGAGATAATATATAAGTAGATATTATACTAAGGCATATGTATAACATTTTTTCTGAAAAGAATCCAACAAGCAATTAACAGTTTGGGGAAGAGCAATTATGGGAGAAGAAATGGAGAAGAAAGACCTTCATTTTCGTTTTGGTTTTGTATTACTTATGTGATTTAGCCTTCTACATACACAGTAAAACTCCTGTCCTAAGATAGTGAGTGAAATCTAAAAAATTCAGTCAAAATTCAGAGCGCTGTTACCGAGAAGTTAATGAAATGATCTCCGCTCACTGAGCCTGTTTAATTTGACACTGGCTGTAGAATCCCCAGCTATACATTAGCGCCATCTGGTGGAAGTTGTCACTTCCACAGGAGATTCACTGGGATTCCAGCGGCGCAGTGATTTCAGTAACAGTCTTATGAACTCCTGCCAGCTCGTCACCGTCACCGATCCCGGGAGACTGGGACGAGAGTATTCTGGAGATGGGAAACGCACGTTCCGCTTCTCCACACCCAAGAAAGCATTTCTCTGCATTCCCAATCCGCATCCCCCCAAATAACAGAAACTTGGCACACATACACCCCATTTGAGAACTGGGTAAATGGAGAACATTTTGTTTTCTTCTTTGTTTACCTCTGTATTAAATATAAACATGTTTTTTAATTAATTGTTCTTTCATTAAATAAGGACCTCTGTGTTAAAGACCTGTGTTGAGCAGTCTCTGAGGAACCCACCTATCTTATTTACTTGCTAACCCTAGGCATGCATAGTACCTGACACATAGGAAGTGCTCCAGGAGTATTTTTTGCGTGGAAAAAGGGGAGCCCAGATGCTGGAGGATCTCAGTACAAGGAAGACAAATGCACAAGTAAGCTTAGCCAAAGCAGAAGGTGAAAAGTGGCATAGGAGAATTTTTTTTTAAATGCAACAGGGTTCAAAAGAGAAAGCAATCACACCAGTTGGAAAGATGTAGGAAGAGTATGTGCAAGACCTGGTATCTTTGCTGGTCCTGGAGGACACTTAGGATTTTGACAAGTAAAAAGGTCAGTAGGGTAATCCAGGCAAGAGGAAAAAGCCATGAGCAAAGGCACCAATGTTATAAAGGAGAGGCAATCAGAAAGAACAAGAGTTTTGTGACCCAGTGTGGTTAAAATAGTATGGCTACATTTCTAGGGGTAGAATCCATGCAAGTAACTGGAGGTGAGAAAGTATGGAAGCTGTGACATGAGAAGCTACACAATGCTGAAGACGCTGAGGGTGACTGCAGGGAAGGAAAGAAAATGTGAGCCAGGACCTGAAACCTCTGAGAAGGTAGTGAAGTGTCGTAGTAGTTGGTGGCTAAAAGAGGAGCAGCTATTACATTATTCACTTGGAAGGGACAAGACAAAGCAAAGATCACACTGAGACCTTCCAGCCCAGGGAATCAGGAAATGTGTTAGAAAGGGTGTAGCTTTAAAGGAAAGTGGTATCATCAGAGTGCAAAGAGCACAGGATTTTGAACCAAACCAAGCTGACTTTGAATCCTGATCCTGATGTTTTTTAGCTACGTGACTTTCTGAACATCATTCCGTCTCTTCAAAACTCAGTTTCCTCATCTCTACAATGCAGGCTATTAATCTCAGCTTCCCAGGGATTACTATGTTAAAGTTAGAAATAAAACATGTAATTAACCCGACACAGGGCCTGGCACATTAAAGGAATTCAAGAAAAGACAGGGAGGAATGAATGACTGAAAGGCAGAAAGGAAGAGGGAGACAAATCTTAAACCAAGTAGCATGGTTTACAGAAAGGAAATGCTGATTTCACCAACATTCCTTTAAAAGAGGAACCAGGAAAGAGACAGCTCTTGTGAACAGGAGAGTCCTCCACCCGTGGCTGTCAGCTCAGTTCAGAGGCTCATTTGGGCTCTAAACGAATGCACCCTGAGGCGGTGGGCTGCCCTCATGCATTCTTAGGGTGGAAAGAGAGCGTTTCTCAATGGCAGCCTCAGTTCTGGGTCCAGCCGCGTACCTCCTCTCACCCCGTCATGGAGAGGTCACTCTGGTTGGGAATTTATCAGTGAAAGTGGCTCCCTCCCAGGAAGCGGGAGGAGGAAGGGCATCCCAGAGCCAGAGAAGCCCCTCCTGACCCCCATCATGGGGTCCTGGTCACGTGGTCCCCAGCAGAGGCTGTCCCAGGTCTCAGGTCCCAGGCCTACACATCCTAAGTGTATGGAGAACAATTTGAACATGTAGAATTCGGCCCTTTCTCCTTATAGTTTGGAAACTATCCCTTTTTTATTTGGGAGGCATGCTCTCTCTTATATGTAGTGTTCCTTTGACTTCTATCCCTGGCAACAAAGGAGGAAGAATGAAAGCACTACGAAAAAGAAGATATAGGTTGTTTGTTGTCTTTTCATGTCCACAAGGGGCTAAGGTCTGCCATGACTCCTCCATTCTACAAATTACTCACAACAGAGGCTTCTAGATACTCCCAGTTTTGTTTAATAGAAGGAGGAAGGGATGAATCAGGTCAAACACAACTTCAGGACTCTCCCGCTGCCATGGAGAGAGGCAAGAAATGGTTCTTCTTCAAGGGCTAGGTTATCTTCCTGGCAAACGGCTCGGCCATGATCAGCCTTTGCATCCTTGAATGCCGCACGTTGGCAACAGCAGCCACAAGGCAATGACCAGTTCACCTGTGCTGGTCTCTCTGTTCCTGGGCCTGACAGAAAGGGGGGTCCTCTGCCACCTGAGATGTGCCCTGAAGCACCTGCCGGACCCTCTGCATCCCTGGGAAGGGGAAATAAGGCCCATTAGCATTGGGGTGGATGGGTAGGGAGGAGTAGGCTGGGGTTGCTGGGGCCACAAGTGGGACTAGGAGGAGGAAGGCAGGGGAAGGGTGCAGTTAGGAGGGGCTGGGAGGGCAAGCTGCTTACCCAGGCGAAGCCGGTGGGCTTTGTCAGAGAAGACCAGGCGGAACCACCCTGGCTCTTTGCACTCGAAGGCCTTACCAAAGGACAGCAGCACCTTGTTGTCCAAAAAGCGATGCCAGAGAAGCATTTCCTCCTCAAAGGTGGCCTCAGGCAGGTACTGGGAGAAAGAAAGGGGCCCACGATGCAGAGAAGACATCCCTGCTCCTCACCTGCTGGAGGGAGGCTTCGATCCACCCACCACCTCGCCCGCACTACCTTCCTCAAGTCGGCCCAGATGAAGAAGCCCGCCCCCCGGTTCAGAAAGGGGATCCCCAGGGCCTGGAGCTCTCCAGCCACATAGGTGTGAGCAGCCTTGAGCCGGGCATGGTTCTCCGGCAGGTACACCTGGTTGATCCAGTCTGTTTGGGTGAAAGAGAAGCTGAAAGTAAATGTCCCATCAACCCTCCACTCTGTCCTGTGAGTCTAAAATGCTGAAAAGGAAAAGGCCACCCACTGCCAAGACTGGGTGAGGCCCTCCTCTAGCTGGTTCATTACGGGACATGGGAATATTCAGTATGGGTGTTAAAGCACCTTAAATCCAGACAGTTGGCCCTGACAGCACCAGGTCCCACAGATACAGAGTCCCTCAGGGTGCAGACTCTGACCAAAGGCTGACCCACTCACAAAGTGATGTCTCCCGGTCACACAGGCTGCAGTCCAGGTCCTGTATGGCCCCTGACAAGGTGAAGGCCTTGGGCAACTTCCACTCCCTGGTACTTGATATTTTAAAAAATTTTGGTGGAGTGTTCAAGTCCATACATTTTAAGACACATGTAGATTCCAGTAACCATCCCCAGGCAGGGGACCAAACAGCGCCCTCACCCTCAAGAACTCCCTCGCACTAGCTGGGAGGAAGTCCCATCGTCCCCTTCCCCACAACCACTAGTCTGCTCTCTGTCACATTTCTGGGATGTCAGAAAAGTGGAACCATACACTCATGTCACCTTCTGAGACCGGCTTCTTCCACTCAGCCTACTGCCTTTGAGATTAACGTGTGCTGTCATGGACTTATTGCAGAGTGGCGCTGCCCTCTCCCACCCCGGCCACGTGGATGGACCACTGTTTGTCTCTCCATTCATCTGTGAATGGCATTTGGGTTGTTTCCAGTTCGGGGGACGAGGAAGAGAGCAGCTGTAAACATCCACACAGAGCTTTTTTGTGTGACCACCACGGTAAATACCTAAGAGTGGCGTTGCTGGGCCATTTGGGATTTCACTTTATAAGCAACTGCCAGCTGTTTTCCCCGCTGGCTGGACCACCCTCCATTCCCACCAGCACTGCAGGGGCATCCCAGCTGTCTGCACCCTCGCCGACACTGGATGCTGCCACTGTTTTCAAAATTTTAGCTATTATACTAGACATGCAGTATCTAGTCCTCATTTCTTTCGTCTACAAAATAATGAGGAAAATACAGGAATACATGCTTCCTAGGATTCTGGGGAGAGACAAAGGAGACGGTGGGTTGAGGACATCTAGCAGGGTCGATAAATGAAGGCGATACAGGTCCTTTTGCTCCCTAAACTCACCATCTGAACCTGGGACCAGAACAGATCCACAGAGACAGAGACAGAGAGACTTCCATTATAACATTTTTCCATTAGTTGCTTCTGTTCTTAAGTGCTCACAGCTAATAATAGTGAGTTCACTTTGACCAAGTGCCTACTATATGCCAGATACATGTCTTTCTGACTGAATGACAAATCACACTTGCTAACCCTGTAAGACAGTTACTGTTATGATCCTTGTTTTACAGATGAGGAAACTGAGGCTCAAGGAGGTGAAGGAATGTGCCATGCAGCCAGGAAGTGGTTAAATAGGGTATGAACCCGCGGCGGGTACTCTCAAACACTACCCTAAATTCTTCTCATGCACAAAGCATCCACGATCCCTGGCCAGTCCCAGACGGACTACAGCCTTCCCCCCATTCCCAGGTGGCCAGGCCCAGATAGTCACCGTGGTCCTGGAGCAGCCGTGCCATCTGGTACTGGACCAAGCCACTGAGGCCATGGTAGCGGCAGAGGGAAGCCACCGCAGTGGCCACATCCTGGTTTTCTGTGTACAGCGTGCCAAAGCGCAGCCCGGACATGCCGAAGTCCTGCAGGAGAAAGGTACCCTAGGTGGTGGCCAGCTCTGCATAGAGAAAGCCGGTTCTACCCACCTCCCTGCCTTCGCGCCTCCCTCCCTGCCTCCCCCAAGGCCAGCCAGGAACCCACCTTGCTGGTGGCCCACATCACATGGGTCCTCTGGGGGTCAGGCAGCCTGCAGAGAGCACAGCGTGGGGATAGAGGCAACGCATACCCGCGGGAGCTCACGCGTTCGGTTAAACACAGAAGGAGGTGGATGGATGAATCTGATTCTGGGTCAAGCCCTGGTTTCATCTCTTGAATCACCAACTGCCATGCATCCTTTAGCGCAAGGGGTCAGCAAACCAGAGCCTGCGGGCCAAATCTGCCGGCTGCCTGTTTTAGTAAATGGTTTTATATCGAAACACAGCCACGCTCCTTCACGTACGTACTCTCCGAGCTGCTTTGGTGCTATGATGGCAGAGCCGAATGAGCGACGGTATGGCCTGTAAAGCTAAAATATTTGCCATTTGATCTAAAAATGTTTGCCGCACCCTGACCTAAGGCATAGCCCAAGTGGCACTTCCTCCAACTGGGCACCCCACGCCGACGCTGTCATGGCTCCCCAGGCCTCTCCTTTTCAGCACTTAATCAAATGATTAGCTGTGTGTTTAGCTGCTAAAAAAGATTTTTTTCTGGCTAGAAATAAAAGTTCTACCTAGACAGGGCCCATGTCTTTCTTGTTCACTGTTGCGTCCCCAGCACCTCACAGCGTGTCTGGCAAAGAGTAGACGACAAGTCACTAGTTCTCTGTGTTACTGCTCACCTATAAGTGAAGGGGAGTAACAGCCCGTGCTCCATGACCTTGGCTGAGCTTTGGGAGAACTAGCTGAGGGAAAGGACTGAGCAGGGTTGAAAGGTCTGAACAGGTATCCGGAACTGTTAGACTCTCTGAATGTCAGATTCACAGACTTTACAGATGGCGTGGTCCAAGTGTTTCCAAAGGTATTTTGGACAGAAAAACTCTAATGAAAAAGCCCAAATAGCCAGGAGTGCGTGGCACATGCAAGCGGCTCCAGAATATTTGCTGAATGACTGAATGACTGAATGAGTGAATGAAACTGGAGCTACTCAGGGGACCAAGGAAACAACAAAGGCCATTTCCCACCCACCCTGCCCTCCCTCGAGGCATCCTAAGGCCCCTGCCTGGAGCTCTCAGAAACCCCACAGAACAATCTGAAAACCACTGATCTGGCCCGGTCTTCCGGTCCTCCATGTTCTCATTAGGGGCTCTGAGGACAAAGGGGTCAGCTGGACAGTAGAGGAAACACCCTGGGGCCGGCCATTCCTGCAGCTGAGCCGTTGGGGCCAGGGCAGAGCAGAGGCGGGGGGACAGCGGAGAGTCAACTCTGATGTGGCAGCCTCACCTTTCCAGGCTCAGGACACTGTGGTAACCAAGTGACTCTTCAAACACGGACAGCATGTAGACCTCATCCACCACCACGTGCAGCCCATGCCTGGGGGCCAGTGGCAAGGAAGGAAGAGCTTGGTTTATCGGTCACATTATCACCCAGGGTGGGGTGGCAGTAAATAAGAAATCCACAGGGACCGGGTCTAGCCCATGGTCACCAAATTTCAAACACGCAGGAAGCCGCACACACAAAGAAGGTGACAGGGGGGCTTCTGAAGGCCTGAGGTGGAGAGGCGGAACCCTCAGGCACCCCCAGGAGGAAGGGCACAGTTAAGGGCAAGACAGTTAAATACACACAGACCCAGAGTCAGACTGGCTCCCCCACCCCTCCCTTAGGCTCAGTAAACAGAGTAATAACAGTATCTGTACCTAATGGGGTTGTGGGAAGGATTCCGTGAGATAGAGCACGTGACGTGCTTAGCAGGGTGCCTGGGCCCTAGCCGGTGCAATAAAAAGTGATGGCTGCCCTTATAGAGAGGGCAAGAGAGACGAGCACCCGACAAACCACTATCTCCCCACCCCACTGTCAGGAGGGGCCAAAGCAGGTGGAAACCACGGTGGAGAAAGGAGGGTAGAAGGACCCACCAAACCCTCCACCAAAGGCTTTGTAGGGTGAGCGTGGGGTGCCTCACCTCCTGGCAAATTCCAGGTACTCTCGCAACTCTTCCGGGGAGTAGATATCACCCAGAGGGTTCTGGGGGTTGATGAGGATGAGGCCTTTGACCTTCACACCCTGAAACCACCAGTGGGGCAGGAGACCCTCAGGCTCCTCCCGAAGGTCAGAGCCACAGGTCCCATGGGGCGGGGCTGGTCACAGGGCAGGCTCCCAGGGAAATGCGGTGGGACCGTGTTCACCACCAACAGGAGGCAAACAAGGGCGGAGAATTTTGCAGCATCGTGTCAGCTAAGTAAGAAAACAAATCCAGAGAACAAAGCCTAGAGGGAATTATGCTCAAATGTCAACAGGGGGTGCATTTGTTGGTAGTATGGCGGGTGGGGCGGGTGTTGCACTTTGAAAATCCCCAAAGTGGGCATGTATAGCTTTCACTGGTGGAAAAAAAATGAGTTGGCAGATTGCTGAAAAGTGGGCTGGAAATAAAGACTGGTGGAACTACTGCTCTCCGCCTTTCTTAGGAGGCCTCAGGTCCCCGCAGTGTCACAGAGGACCCTGTCATCAAAAGGCCAGGGAGGTTGCTGAGCTACAGCCTTGTAAGCTCCACACCTGAGCTGCTGAATCAGAATCAGGCGAAGTGGTGGGGGTGATATTTTTAATCACCTCCTGGGCTGGTGATTTGTACACCGAGGTCTCAGAGTCTTGCTCTAGTGGGAAGGCCCTCAGGGGCAGACTCCTGCCTAACGCCCCGATGGGTCCGTGCCTACGCCCCATCCTCGTCACGGGGCGCCAACCCTACCAGCAGGTGGACCAGGCACAGGAAGAGGGGTCCGTGCCCTGCTCAGAACCCCCACTCTCAGCCTTGGGTTTGACTCGTTCCCCAGACCTCAGAATCGGCTCCTTGCAGGGCCATCTCCAGCTTCTCCACTGACAGCTGGAAGGGGCGTGTGTCCTGCCCAGTGACCTGGAAATAGATCCAAAGGCAAATTCAGTGACCCCCACGCCAAGCCCCTAAACTCTCCTGCCCATCATCGCCAGCCTCCTTAAAACGGTCCCTGGGAAAACACAGGTGGGCTCACTCCCCCCTCACTGCCCCCCGCCCCTACCCCGCCCCATCAGGGACACCCTCATCACTATCAAGTTTCAGGAAGAGGTCCCAGGGCTCCTCGGATTAGGGTCCAGGGACTTCCAGGCTGAAGTCTGCCCTGCCCCGTCCTCACCCCTCCATTTCGGTGTGGTCGTCTGGGGCTGCCCTTGGCTTCTCCATCAACCCCAGAGATCTCAGAGCTGGGAGAGTGCAGGCGCCAGGGAACCCAGGCACTGGCCTTGGGCAACGGAAGCCTCTACCCTCCTTTCAGCCATAATCCATGAGCCCTCGGTATGGACTTCCACCCATGCCCACCCTCAACGTCAGATGCAGGAAAGTCTTGGCCTGCAGGAACTCCCACCTGGGTTCCCAGAAACACGTACCTCACTGTCCAGATAGACACAGACCAGCCGGACATTGCCGTAGAGATAGACGTGTTGCGTGATGGCTCCATAGTAAGGGGCAGCAATCAGGAAAGCCTCTGGGGGCAGAAGTGGGCCAGGGCCTGTCACCCTCTGGCTGGAGCTCGTGGACCCCATGTCCACTGGCCCCAAGCCTCAGTGATCTTGGGGAACACTTGGGGCGCGCTCCCTGTCTCAACTCACACAATTCTTTCTAGAGCTTGGATCCACTGAAGTCAGTCCCTTTTCTAATCATCAGGAGCTAACATTTATTGAGCACTTGCTATGCACTGGGAACTGTGCCAAACATTTATTTGCATTTTATCTCATTGGATCCTCATAGTCACTCTGTGAAGTAAGTACTATTGTCATCCTAACTTTACCAAAGAGGAAACTAAAGCTCAGAGGATCCCCGAGGCATTCAACATGCGAGGTCACTCTAAGGAGAACTGGACCCATGAGTTGAATCTACGGGGTGATGATCTGGGCTAAACAAATGGAAAACCTTGTCAACCCGTAGAATTGCCCGCAGCGTAATATGCTGATTAAGTGGGGTGGACTCTTCACTTTCGGGGGCATTCCCACAAAGGCTGAGACCATTTGCTGGGGAGAAGATGTCATACAGAGAATCCAGCTGTGGACGGGGGCTTCATGAGATGACCGGGGGCTTCATGAGATGACCGTAAGCTCTCCTCTAATGCAGAGCTAAAAGGGGCAGCCTTTGTCCTACGTGTTCCCTTTCCCGGCAACAGGGATTGGACCACAAGCAGACACATGACCTGAAGGGAACCAATCCACTGGCTGGCCAGAAACCTAACCTATCATGTTCTCTCTCTGAAGGCTTTGCTCTAAGAAGCACAGACACTTGTGACTGGGAACATGCATTTGAACAGAAAGGTCAAGTGGAGTGGGAGCTGGGCCGGCACCACTGGGTGGTACAAGACCCGAGGAAAGTCCAGAGAAAGGCCCACATATAAAGCTTGGTGGCGGGGGCGGGCCTGCATTGCATATTCCAGCAAGAAAGAGTATTACGCTAGTCCCATTCTTGATTGTCCTAGAATGGGCCGGAAATTGCCCAATTGCCTATCATATCCTGGTGATGAATCTTCCTTTGACTTGTCAGCTCTGGTTCCTACCTCTCTGTGATTTTAGCAGGTTACTTGACTCATTATGCCTTCGTCTCCTCATCTGTTGAATGGGTAACCCATGGAACGTATCTCACAGGGGTTGTTGTGAGGATTATATGATGGACTATGTGTAAAGCCTTAAGCCAGTGCCTGGAACATAGTATGTGGAAAATTAATGCTACTAATACTATCGTTATTAATTATGCGAGCATGAGTGAGCCTCTGCTGCTGGCAACCAACAACCCCTGACCGTGACTATGGTCAATGCATTCTCAGTGTGACCGCGGCTCTTGTAGCAGGCACTCTGCCACGTGAGGATGGGACAGCCATCTGTCAGCATGAGGAAAAGCCAAGGTCCACACAGAGAGACCATGTAGAACCCTGGCATCACATTGATTTCCCCTGGACCTGCTGACCCCTGGTGTCTTGTCAAGCCACTTATTTAAGGCCCCTGTAGTACAGAAGTCTATGACGGCCAAAAGCATTCTGACGCAGCCTTCGAGGACAGGCAACCGGGGACACTGCAGGCAAAGGGCAGCTCCCAGTCCACTTACCCCCAGCCTCACACAGCACCGTGGCCAGAGCAGAGAAGAGAGAGGCACAGCCGTTCAGGACAACCACCTGAGGGGGACACATCCACAGGACAAAGATAAATCTGCTTAAGAGGGGATCAAGAACCTGCAGCCTCTGTCCCTGGATGGCGCAGAGGGAGAGCCAGGTTGCAACTCCTTGTGCCCTTCAAGCTCTGTCACAGCAAAGCCACCAGAGGTAACTAAGGCCCCCCTGACTAACAGCCATGTTCACTCGCGTGGCTTAATTGTGGGCATGCTGCTCAAGGTCAACTGAGCAAGGATGCAGAACTGCTCACTCAGGGTCTTGCCCAAAGGTGCGGGGACAAAAGGGACCCCAGGACCAAGTGGGGCAGAAATCGTACTGAAACTCTAAGGGAGGGGAAAAGGGACGGGGTGTTTCTAATTCCACTTAGGAACAAATCAAAACAAAGCAAAAGGCCGATCCCAATGCACCTTACCCCTGGCCAGCAGAAAGCCGGGGGAGAGGAGCAGGACAGCAAGAAAGAGCAGAGGAGGGGGGCTACTCACATTCTCTGGTTTAAGGGGTACGGGGCTCTTGCAGTAGAAAGACAGGAACCTAGCCACTTCCTCCCGGAGGCTGCAGACAAGACAGACAGACAGACAGACGGGCAGTGCTTGCTGGAGGGTCTTCAACCCACAGTCCATCCAGCAGCTCCTTGGTGAATCTTCAGGCAGCTGCTACCCCCCCACCCCGCCCACGTTTCCTACAGGGAGCTGTGATCAGCATTTGTCTCCACTTCTCGGCACCCATCTCCCGCCCCCAACACTACCCACGGGCAGTGAAACTTACATCCTCAGTAGTTCTAGGGCAGCCAACCCCCCAAATCAGGAGATGTCAGGGATATCGTAAGCAACACTCCATATGTAGGTCTAGCTAATAATAATCCTAGGCCTTATTAGTATAACAATGACTATTATCATCATTATTATTGCTAATACTTACGAAGCATTTACCTTATGTAGGTGTTATTTGGAGAATTTTACTCATTTATTCTTCATAACATCCCTATGATGCAACTATTATTATTATTCCCATTTTACAGACAAAGAAACTGACACATGAAGGAATTAGGTCACTTGCTAATAAGTGGCGGAGTCCACACGCAGGCCCAGTGGTCTGACCTAGGTGCCCACCATCCTAATTACTAGAAGAACATCTGCTCTGGAATCACTCTTGGACTCAAGTCTTGCTCAGTCGCTAAGCCCTAGGAGAGCGTGTGACCCCTAGTAAGTGCTGGATTAGTACAAACTCTCACAAGTATTGTTTACCATGTCTCACTTTCCCAGTAGGAGAAAGCCCAAGCCCGCTCCCCTAACAACAATTCTGGCTCCTCTAAAGCTACTGAGAAAGAGGGGCCAAAGAGTCCTCATATGAAGAGCCTCCCCCTGCCTCACAGCCAGAGAAGCCAAGCCAAGGAGATCCTGGGCTGCGTGGGACTGGCAGGAGGCCTCAGCCCCCTCCCATGCTGCAGGACGAGCCCCATGATCACCTGCCAGGTCTCCAGGACCCGCCACTCTTGACCTGCCACCACCGACATCTCGGGCCAGATCACTTGTGTTGTGGGCGTTGCCTCTTCCCAATAGATGCCAGTTGCGCCCACATCCCAGTTATGATAACCAAAAGTGTCTGCTCACACGGCCCCGGGGAGCAGAACCATCCCGGGGTTGAGACCACTGGCCTATGACAACTACTTACAACAGATGTCCCCTCCAGTCAGGGTACTGCAACAAGGACGGCTCCACTTGCAGCATGTCACTCTGACTCAGCTGGGGACAGAGAAGAAAGAGCAGGTAAGGGCTCACACACCCTCACAGGGGGTGCCGGTTGGCATTTCCACCTGCATCCACACAGCACCAGGGCCTCTGAGGCCAAGGACGCGGTCTGCTCATCGAAGACACTGGGGGCGGGGCAGCACGGGGCCAGCATTTTCATGGCCATTCTGCTGATGAGGAAACCGAAGCCAAAGAAGTGAGGTGACTCAGCCAAGCTCACAGAGCTAGCAAGTGGCAAAGCTGAGAGGAAACCTAGAAGTTTTGCCTTCTAGTTGAGTGTTCTTCATTCAACACGGCCCCCTGAAATGACCGGAGGGGTGGATCGGCAGAGGCAGGGACGGGAGGCCATGCTACCCGGCTCCTCCCTGGGGTGAAAGAAGAGGCCCCGGCGTCGGGGGCCATGGCCTTGGTCTTGGCTCCGACTTCTGGAGGGACTCAGGCCACTGCGTCCCTGCAGGCTCAGCTCGACCTCACACTTTGGAAAACGTGGCCATTTCTAGCCCATCCCCGTCCTGACCACAGCTGGGTAGGGACTCGCAGAGCATCCCCTTCACGATGTCAAGGACAGGCAGGGGCCTTAGGCGGCAGGACCACAGAAGAAAGGTCATCAGCCACTGGCTGCCACTCTGCCCCTCCCCTGTCTCCTTCTCCCCTTCAGGCTGCGCTGCCCAGTACGGACGTTGCTAGCCATATGTGGTTCTTGAGCACTTGGAGTACAGGTACTTTGAATGGAGAAATACTGGATACTGAAGTCTTGATCTGAAAAAACTGAGTAAAGTATCTCACTGATAATTTTTATATCAATTACCGGTTGAAATGGTCACATTTTAAATATATTTGGGGGAATAAAGTGTATTATTGAAATGAATCTTACCAGTTTCTTTTTACTTAAAAGACTCTTTAAAATTATCTCTGTGGCTCGTGTTTTATTTCCGTTGGGTGGAGTGAGCAACCTTGGATCTGGGGGTGCTGGCTTCAGGTAGGACATGCCTTTCAAGCGCACTCCCGACACTACACCCCTCTCCACGTGGGGCTTCAATTTGTCACCTTTGGACACATGTCCCTTTGACTTAAGCATCACTGTCACTACAATCCCAAACCCTGACTCCTAGGCCTTGGAAGACACATTTACCACCCATTTCCAGAGCTTTGCTGGAGATGCTTGACCCCAGCTCAAGAAATCTGATGATTAAGTTTTCGGGAATTTTGCAAGCGGTGTTCAAAAACAGCCATTTCAAAATTTAAATTATACAAATCACATAGAAATTATGTAAGGGAATTGTATTAGACACAAAGGTTGTAAATACTCAAACAAGATTGCTCCTGATTATGTTACTACATTTTACTATTAACTGTGCTCTTGAGGTTATTTCTGTCTATGTTAGAAAGGAAAACACGATACAGGATGGAGCAATAGTTGGTTTACAGTTGTTCATGTGAAAAATAATACAATAAATAATAATATAAGAAGAAACTGTTGTTTTGTGTACTCACAACTGGAAACCTACTTTTGCCTCACCCTCTATATGCGTGCCACTGCGCTTCCTTTCCCAATTCTCTGTGCAATAATGTCACATCAGTAGCTTGAAACTGGCCGGGGTGGAAGTGTTTACACCATGGGAATTGGCAAAAGCTACAAAGGAGCACCACCATCCCCAGAGCTGGTTGTTCCTCGCTGACCACACACCCACCACTGACTGTTGTCCCTGAGAGCAGGGACCCAGCTGATAGGAGGGTCTGGGTGAGGAGAAGAGCCTGAAGCAATAATGAAGCAGGATCATGCCCTGACTAATGTGGCTCAGTGGCTGAGCACTGTCCGCAAAGCAAAAGGTTACCAGTTCGACTCCTGGTCAGGACACGTGCCTGGGTTGCAGGTTGCTCCCCCGTTGGAGCATGGACGAGGGACGACCGATAGATGCTTCTCTCTCACATTGATGTTTCTTTCCCTCTCTTTCTGCCTCCCTTCTCCTCTCTCTAAAAATAAATTGTTTAAAAAAAAAAAAAGAAGCAGCAGCAGCAAAGCCCTGGCTGGTGTGGCTCAGTGGACTAAGTGCTGGCCTGCGAACCAAACGGTCGCCAGTTCAATTCCAGTTCAGGGCACATGCCTGGGTTGCACGCCGGGTACCCGGTTAGGGACACAGGAGAGGCAAACACACATTGACATTTCTCTCCCTCTTTCTCCCTCCCTTCCTCTCTCTCTAAAAATAAATAAATAAACCCTAAAAAATTTTTTTTAAATAAAAAAGAAGCAGCAAGATCAGAGCAGGGGAAGTAACTTGCCCAAGACCACATAGAAAGTGGACTATGAGGCAGATCTGGAACTTGGAATCCCACTCGCAGGCCAAGGCCACTGAGGCAAGCAGCAGGCTCTTGTGGGAGAAGCATCTGGGGGAATCCATGAGGAAACAGGACTCAGAGCTGGTGACGCCACCCAGAGATGCACCGGGACTTACCCGTTTGGACAGAAGGTCAAAGCAGAGCTTGTTCTCACTGGTGCCCAAATTCACGATGCCCTGGAGGGGAGAGGTGCAGAGGCGAGGTGAGCATGGCGGAGGGGGGCCCATGGAAGGTCAAGGAAGCAGCAAAGCGGAGCTCTCCGCAATCCTGCCCTTCTAACCACTCTTCCTTGACTTGGTTCCGGCAGTGCCCTGCACTCAGCACCCTGGCCCCATGTTCCCACTTCTAAGTCTCTGTTCAAATGCCATCTCCTCCAGAAAGCCTTACCCAAACGCCACCTGGATGGGATCCGTTCTTCTTCTGAACCCTAAAGTCTCTATCTGCCCCCCCCTTAGAACACTGGTCTGTTTCTGCCCCAGGTCACAGGGGCTGCTCAACATGCTTTGCCTCCCCCACTGCATGGGAAGGTCCCCGGAGGCTGGATGCATGCCCAGATGCCATGGGACCTCTCAGGGGGCTTAGCAGGACTCATGACGAGATGAAAGAACGCGCAAAGTAAACTGGTGCTCTGGCCGCAACCGAAACAAGGGTGTAGATCACGGAGAGCTCAGTGATGGCTCTGGCCGGGGAACGCGGCCCATCAGAGCATCGTCCCCACATACCGGGCAAGGTTGCGGGCCTGACCCCTGGTCTGGGCCTGACCCCTGGTCCGGGCAAATACAAGAATTGACCAATGAATGCTTAAGGAAGTGGAACAAGTCACCGTTTCTCTGTCTCTCTTTCCCTTCCCCTCTCTCTCTAAAAAATCAATAAATAAAAATTAAAGACGAACAAAGATCCCAGTGCTGGTAGAAAGGGACCCCTGGAGACCCAGGGAACTTCACACAACACTTTGATCCCCACCCCATCAGGCATTATTCTCATGGGAGAGGGAGGAGACAGGTCACAGCCCAAGCTGTCCCTCGTAGAGTCCCCAGAGGGACTCATGCACTATATCTCCAGACCTCTGAGTTACTGGGGTGGGGGTGGGAAGAGGGAAAAAGGGGAAGACGAAAAGAAAGAGCACGAAGGAGCTATGATTATGATAAATACAAAGCTCCTCTCTCTCGTCTCCATTATCGCAAGAGCTTCCCTGCTTTCGTTTTTATCCATTCCGTCACCCTCCCTCCAGTCCAATCCCCGCAGCGCGGTCCAAGTCATCTTTTTGAAAACTGAAATCCGAGCATACTGCTCTTCCTTTGAACACTTTCCTACCCACTTTGTCTAAAATCAGAATCCTCACCATGTCCTATGAGACCCTTCGGGATCTATTACTACCCCTGTCCCTAGTACCTGTCGGACCTCCTGCCAGTCTCCAGCCAGTGACCGCTCGGCTTTCCCTTGAACACGGCAAGCCCATTTCTACTCCAGGGCCTTAGCACTGACTCTTCCCTGGATTGTTCGTCCCCCAGACACCAGCCTGCCGGCTCCCTGTGATAGGCAGCCTCCTCACTGGCCCCCAGTCCTCCCCACTTCCTGGCAGTCACACCGCTGTGTCATCCCTTCTCCTTCAGGGTCGGCTGGACCTAGGGACCTGCTTCTGATGTACAGAATATGCAGAAGTGATGGGATGTCACCGCCAAGGTTCGGCTATAAAGAGTCTGCGGTCTTCCGTCTGGGCCACGTCGTGAGGCAGCTCTGAGGAGAAGCTCATCTGTGAGGGACTGAGTCCTGCCAACAACCTCGTGAGTTTGAATGCAGACCCTCCCCCCGCCCCCCGCAACCCCGCCAAGATGAGACCGAAGCCCCAGCTTCACAGAAGACCTTCAGCCTGAGGCCATCACCCAGATCCCTGACCCTCAGGGACTGTCAAATGTCTCTTTTCAGCTGCTGAGATTGAAGGAACGTGTTAGGCAGCAATAGGCAACTAATACAAACCCTTACTTTTCTTAGGTCTCTGCTCAAACGTCTAATGAGTGACCATTTGGGACCATCTCACCGAAAACAGCAACATTCCCAGCCCACCAGATGACCTATCTACCCACCTTTACTGTCTGTCTCCCTGCTACACTATAAGAAACTCCGTGAGGGCAGAAACTTTATTTTTGGCCACTGCTATAACTTTGTCATCTAGAATAATGCACAACACCTGGCAGATGTTCAACAAATAGATTATTAAAGGGTTATTTGTGATAGCTCTGTGCTCTCTGAAAGTGTTCTTGATAATGACTTATAATAACCAGAAAAGATAACATTAATAATAAGAGCTTCTACTAATTACTGAGTACTCCCTATGGGAGCACTGTGCTAATAACTTCACATACCTGTTCTCATTTCATTGGGACAGTTATACAGAACACGTATCATTACTTCATTTTAGAGATGAACCAAAGTTCAAAGAGGTTGGATAGTTAGTTAGAGAAAACACAACCCCTAAGTGATAATAGCTGGGACCCAGTCCTACTTCTGTCCCAGGTCTAAAGCTGAGTGTTTGAAGGTCTGTGGGCCCGATCCCACATCAGAGCATTCCATGGTTCTTAAATTCCTTTCTCACACACCAAGGTCCCTTGAATTATAACTGGACCATTTTCTGATCCAGGTAATACACTGGGGACTCTCCATGCTACATCCGAAGCCCTTGCAGAGGTCAGAGGATCATAAGTCCAACATGACAAGAGCAAGTGGGCTGCTGCCCTGTCATTCAAGGTGGGGTGTCCCACCCTGCAGCCCTTCCCTGGGTCCCCGGGGAAGGAGGCCCTCACTCACATGGGGGTTCTTCTCCTCATCATACTCATCCATGCGGTAGGCCCTGTAGCCCTCCTCAGCGGAGTCCCAGAACCATTTAATGACTCTTCCTCTCGAGGACAGATGGGAGCTATCACAGGAGAACGTGGCGGTGGGGTCACCCACTCCATAGAGCTCCGGGAGCTTCTGGGTGGATTTTCTGGAACATTCTCTTTCCAGACCATCCCCATAGTTACTGTCCGGGCCCTGCGTGGAGACCGGGCCCAGACAGGCGTTAGGTGCCCTGGGTTCCTTCTCAGGGACCCTGAACATCTGCAAAAAGACAAAAGCACTCAATGCTTCATCAAGGACTTTCCAGAGGACCAGGCATCAAAAATGAACCGGGGGTAATGGGGCCTCCCCCCTTTCTCCACCCGCCTCTTCTTTGAGTTTATAACCTAATTGCACCCTGTGTCCCTGCTACGCGTAACCAACCGCAAGTGCAATCGCTTTAAGTCAATTCTGTTCAGGATGCATTTGGTGCCAGCGTCTGCACTCACTACTTTTCCACCACTTTACTCTACAGCTGCTTTTGTTCATTCTACTTCTGTGGGTTTTTTATTCTGCAGCCTAAGGGGTCACCAGCGGTCTTTTGCCATTTTTGCTGACTTCAATTTCAAAACATCCAGATTAAAATGTTCTGACTTAAAGCAGAAAGAGCCTGGAGTCTGGGGGTGCGGGGGTGAGAGTCCACAGGCCGACCCCTGCGCGTGACCAGCAATGAGGGCAGCAAAGAGGGGGGATGGGGCCTGCGATGACTGACGTGAACAGGAGTGAAGGGTGGGATGGGAGTGTTGGAGGTCTGAAGGGGACCTTGGGAGGGGACTGAGGGTGGGCAGGGGGTACCAGTGGGGATCTCGGCAAGTGCAGGCACCTAGCAGAGCTCCAGGGACCCCTCTTCCCCCTCAGCGGTGGACCGCGAGCGGGCCGGGATCGGGCAGGGATCGGGCCGGAATCGGCTGCTCTCCTGCAAGCGCCGGGAGCTCCGCCACCTTCCAAGGCAGTTTTCTAATCTGCACCTTGCGTATGACTCTAACTCTATGGGGTTGGCCAAAAACTTCATTTCGTTTTTTCCCCTCAATGGCTCTAGTAGTTCTTAGTTGTTTTTAACATCCTTTGAAACAATTTTGTTTGATTGTATTGCAACAGCTGTCCTATCAGTGTGCATTTTTTAAAAAAATCTTATCGAAATTGGTGAATTTTTGTGCAGGCATTTTAATATGAAAGATGGAAGAAGATATGCAACATGTTGGGCATATTGTGTTTTATTATTTCAAGAAAGGTAAAGATGCAACTGAAAGGCAAAAAAAGTAAAAGAGTTGTGCAGTGTATGGAGAAGGTGCTGTTACTGATCCAAAGTGTTTAAAGTGGTTTGCGAAGTTTCTTCGTCCTATTGACATTTCGGTCAAATAAGTCTTTGCTGTGGGGCTGTCTTATGCATTGGTAGATGGTTAGCAGCACCCCTGGCCTCTACCCACTAGGAGCCAAGACACACTTAAAATGTCCAAATCGTTAAAGTTATTAGTGAAAATTTTTTCTTAAAAAACATTTAACTGAAAAAACTGAATGGACTTTTTGGCCAACCCAATACTTCATAGAGTAGTAATGAGGATACAAATATGAGTTAATGTAGACGAAAGTGCTTCAATTCTGGCTATGGCCAAGTTCAGAAAAATATGACTCTTCGTTGATTTTCCCAGTCCTAATGGACAAGCCCCACACACCAAATAATGGGAAACACACCAAATGACAAGGGACCAGGCACCGAGGGGCTCCCACTAAATGGTGCTCCAGGACGCCTTCGCTCCTCCCCCAGTAGACAGCTCCCCATCGCTCGCCTCCCAGGCTCCCAAGCCCAGGACCCTGGAAGGGCTGGGCTGCCAGGCCGGGGAAGCCTGGCACCCTCTCGCGGCTACGCTGCCGCCAGGGTGCCAAGGGCGGGCTAGGAGAGCCCAAGGCCCAACCTCGGAGGACGACCAGGCCTCAGATGCCGTGGGTCACACAGAAAAGCGCCAGAGCCTCTGCAGGGCGGCGGACCCTCCCGAGGGACCAGGGACCGCTCTAGGTTTCAGGAGGAGGAAGTGGGGTCCACGCACACAGCTTCAAGACGGAAGGACCGACATTCGCAGAGTCGTGGGGCCCCTCGCGAAGGGAGGGGCTGCCTGTGTGCACAGCGGGGTCACACCGACCTGGCCTAGCTGGAGAAGCCACGCCCACTCTGTAGACGAGTTGTCCGTATCTCCGGGTTCCCTTTCTCTTGACACGCCCTCGGCGCTCTCCGCTCAGAGGACCCGCCTCTGGGCACCAGACTGGGGTTCCACGGGGAATGTCCGCCCCGCCAGGGCATCACCGGCTGGTGAGGACCCAGGTGACCCCTGGACACCCAGCCCGGAGGACGCCTCCTTTCGGCCTAGGCAATAGGGGGCTCACACGTGGTCACAGGGCAGGGTCTGGGGATTCCCCGCCCCTCTGGGATCCTGTTGTTCCGCCCAGGCCCGAGGAGTAGAGTAGACGGGAAAGGGGAAGAGGGGCGCAGGAAGAGGGGCGGGGAAGGGGAGCGGGGAAGAGGGGCGGGGAACGGGGGCGGGGGAACGGGGGCGGGGAAGTGGGCCGGAAAGACGGCTGGGAAGGGGGCCAGGGCAGGGGCTCATTCCTTGGCGAGGAAAGGGCAGGCCACCCGCTGCCACCGCCGAGCTCCGTGGTCTCAGGGCCTGGGCTCAGGGCAGCCTTCTCCTGCCTTTGCTCTCCCCCCATACCCACACCGTGCTGGCTCTTTGGGGCGCCTCCTGGTTTAGTTCCCCAGTGTTGAGGCCACAAGAGCCACGGAGATTTCTTGGCGAAGGTATGCCTTGGGGTCCAGGAGAAGCCGTGTGGAGATTAAAGAGAGAGCATCCTTAAAACCTCCCTCCCCGGGACAGTTTTACACAGGGGTCTGTAATGTCAGTCCTTTTCAATCTGTGCGACATTTGATGAAGTCTACCATGGACCCTACATATTCTGGGGTTTTGGCAGTGAGTTCGAGAGTACCCAGGGCCCAGGCATGCTCAGAGCCTTGAGGAGAAGTCTCCTTTCCCCATGAAAGGACAGCAGAAGGTTCCCTCAATACAAGTATGGCTGGGAAGACTCAGCGGTCTTCTCACCACTGCGTTTGTCTTCCCTTCAGCCTTGTCATTAATGAACATTGTGACATCCAGCCACTCGCATGTCGTCTTCAGTCCTTCGTGTTTTATTCTGTGAAATAAGCCAGTTCTCTCTATACAAGTTATAGCATTCTATTTGATTCAGATAAGTAGTCTTATTGAATGCCTGTTCTGTGCCAGATCTCTGCCAAGCGCTGGGAGCCGGTTTACGAGCACATCGAACAGCCGAACTGCACAGTTTATTGGGAAGGCAGACCCACAAATGTGGCAGCTCTTAAGAACGGGACTGGTGAGGGCCATGGCAGCATACAGCAGAGAGCCTTACCCCTACCGCCCAGCTGCACGCACACATGCATTCACTCTAAACGCTTAGGATGTGATGGTTGAGTTTGAAGGATAAGTCCTAGTTAGCTAGCTGGACGGTGAGTGTTTGAGAGGAAGGAACGTTTTGATAGGGCCTTGAAGGTTAGGGTTTCTGTAGAACATTACCGAACTGTACAAATTCAATACCTCTGGAACTTACCAGACCTGGGAGAAAGGCCACAGTTACAAGCAGGGGTCAGGTCATGAGTCTTTGTAAATAAACCACAGACTGTGGACTTCTCTCTGAGGCCATTAGAAGTTATATGCACACACGGAGAAGGAGAGAGCAAACGGAGTCTTTTAAAATTCAAAAGGCACAACTAAAAAGCTGAAAAAGGGCAATGAAATGGGCACCCAGTAGTGCTTGGGTAATCTGAAAGAAGGCAAGCAGGAAGGAACAATGAACAAAGAGCCTGTGACACAGCAGCAGAGACAGCTGATTAAATTCAACCACCTTAATAGTTACACTCAATAGAATGACTGGGGACCAATGAAAATATCAGACTGGCCAAAACACCAGAAAGCAAGTATATGGTGTTTGCAAGACACAGGTTAAAAAAGGACAAACGGTTAAAAGTAAAATTGGAAAAAAATATTTTATGTAAATAACACTAATAAGAAAATGGCTACTATTAAAAAACAAAACACAAACAAAAAAGTGACACCCAGAGAACAAGCGTTGGCAAGAATGTAGAGAAATTGGAGCCCCAGTGAGCCATCGGTGTGGATGTGACGTGGGGCGCCCGCTGCGGAAAACAGTTCGGCGATTCCTCCGAAAATTAAACATACAATTACCATGTTACCCAGCCATTTCACTTCTGGGTATATCCCCCAAATAACTGAAAGCAGGGTCTTAAAGACATTAGTACACCATATTCATAGCAGCATTATCCACAATAGTCAAAACATGGAAGCAACTCAAGTGTCCTTCAGCAGGTGAATGAATAAGCAAAATGTTGTTACAAATGCAATGTAATGCTATTCAGGCATAAATAGGAAGGAAATTCTGACAAGCTACACGCGTATGAACTTGGAGGACATTATACTAAGGGAAATAAACCAGTCACAAAAAAAGACAAATGCCGTAGTATTCTACGTGGGGTGCCTAGCGTAGTCAAAATCATAGAGACAAAGCAGCATGGCAGTTGCCGGCGGCTGAGGGAAGCGGGTAATGGGGAATTATTTAATAGGTATAGATTTTCAGGTTGAGAAAATGAAGAGCCAGGGGGGTGGACGGCGGTGATGGTTGCACCACTGTATGAGCGTACTTAACGCCACCGTACCGCACGCTTAGAAGTGGTAAAGAGGGTACGTTTCATGTCAGGTGCATTCCAGCTCACAAATAAAAGGGGGGAAAAAAGAAGACGTGGTAGAGTTCAAAACAAAAAGAATTACACAAAATTAAAATGACATTTCATAATGAAATGATCCATTGATCAGGATAAACTATTTCAAAGTTTATGCCCCAAATAACAGATATTCAGAGATTCCAAGAGCATCTCTGGTTTCCGTCTTTCCACTGTCTTCTGCTCCCATGAGCTCCCTCATTCATCCAATTCCTTTCTGCTTCGATTAGCCATAGTCAATTTCTAAAGAACCTTGTGTTCAGTAAAAAGCCTTAAGAACCAGGATTTGTAACGTTTTTTGGGGGGGGGGGAAAAAAAGATTGTCACTGAGGAACAGTAGCCTTACAACCCAGACCCAAAAGAGACAGGGTGGTCCCAAACCTGACTGACCAACACCATCTCTTGGTGCTGAGAGCTCTCTCCTCACCTATAAACTGATGACAGTCTCTGCTCTGCCCCTGTCACAGCATCAGGGCTCAGGCTGAAGCCGAGGGCTTTGAAGAGACACTTATGGGGACATCATCTAGTACAGTCCATTGAATTGAACAAGGTCCCCCAATATATCTGGGGCAAGTATGAACGGTGTTGGTTACTTTAGGGGACACAGAGCCGTCTGAAATCACAGCACTAGGAATGGCAGTTAGGTAATTGAGCACTGCATGAACCACACCCTGTCGAAGATCTTCCTACACATCCGTGATTTAATCCTCAAAACGACTCTGTTAGGAGAGCACCTCCGTTGGCTTCATTTTACCGATGAGAAAACACAGACTCAAAAGAAGGTGAGTTACACGGGCAGTATGGTACAAGCGAGCTTTAAAGTTAAGGCCATTACCCTTGGACCCCACCGCCTTCTTAAGAATCCCTCCTCAAGGCCTCTTTCTGGAAGGAGACCCATACATTCAAGGCTTGGCACTGACTTTTTGGGATCCAGAAGTTCAGTAAGTCCATCACTGGCCCAATCCCATTGTATGTATCGGTTGGGCAGGAGGTCCAAAAACCCAGCGGATGCCCCAGACAATGCCTGGTGCAAACCCCCTCTCAATCCATATCCCACGGCTTTCCCAAACCTGCCAGCAGCACTCACCTGTGTCTGTTTCCATTCATCTCCTCTAGTTCTAAAATCCTTAAGCCCGATGAAATGCCCCTTGACCTTCAGAGCTCAGACGTTGCTCCACCGCCCTCCTCTCGCTAACCCTGCTTCCTGCGTTTGGTCTGCAGCTCAGCTTTTAAGAACAAAGTGCTATTCAGGGCAATGATAAGATCCACATGTACTCTTCCAAGGGGATCTATCCACAAGTCCCCAATGACCTAAAATGGTCTTTCTTAGCACCATCCGAGAGAAAGGGCCAGTGACGCCGACCCCAGAGGGCAACCTGCATTGGAGCCATGGCTCTCAAACTTTGGTGGCTTTGGTATCATCTTGGTCTAAGAAAGACCAAGAGGCTCTTGGAAGTAGGGTAGGGCTGGGCCTGGAGGTAGCTCCAGATCACCAGGTGGTCTGAATACCTTACCAGCGCTTGAGAACCACTGGAGCAAGTGAATGTCAACTCAACCACAAATGAGCTACGAACCTTCCCTGTGTCTGGGAAAGCCATGATTGACCGCAGGTTGAAACGGGTCAGCCTAGGGCGGACGGACAACTTGACAAGGAAGCATGGAGTGATCGCCACGTAGTGGGTCTCAGGGGCCCAGCTCTACGTGACTGAGTGTCCTTGACAAACCCACCCGGCCTACCTGGCCCTCAGTTTCTCCTCGTTAAAGTAGGAAGGACCTGACACCTGCCTCACAGAAGGTGATGTGAAGGCTAAATAGGAGGACATGCCAAAATGATAGGGCAGGTAGGACCGCCCCATACCTGTGTCTCTTTCACCTGGTCGGCTCCTGCCCTGCCTTCCCTGGCGGAGGACCAATAGGAGCAAACCCAAAGCAGCCTGTGGTCAAAGGTTCCCTGCCTTGTGATGTTGTCCAGCTTCCCAGTTAGCGTTGGTTTAAAGTGCAGATGCCTGGGCTCCCCCAAGGGTTCTGACTCAGGAGGCCTCAGACTGGGTCCGGGAGCCTGCACGGTCAAGCTGCCTACCGCATAAAGCACACTGGGCGGGCAGCGCACAGGGCCTTGGCTCCGGCTGGGCCCCAACGCCTGTGCTGCTCTGTCCCCAGCTACCTGCTTGGCCCTCCTCTTGGAGGCCTGCTACTATAAACACCCACGTAATTCCACAGGAATAAGAACAGCCTTACTAACCTGGTCTCCGGGTTGTATGAGGGGACTGGAGTGGGGGGCCTGAGGAAAAGCAATGCCACAACATCGGGGTTCAGTGGCTCTGTCCCACTGAACTTATCTTCCTCCAGCTGAGCTGAGGGTTGGCTCACTGGTTGGTGACCACACGGATACCCTCTGGGGAAACTTCTCCTGCCAACCAGTTCCCCTGCAGGCCCTGTTGCTCAAAGGGACTGCAGGCGCTCCCTCCTCTACAAGGCCTGGGCCATGCTCCAGCCCCTCAGAGCTCGGCCCTCCTCCGAGGTCCCGAGCACTTAGCTGCCCATCTACATGTTCTCTGACCTGAGCACTCACACCCATGGTAGTGACCTTGCAGAGGGAGAACACCCTTTGGTGTGCACTTCCCTTAGCCTTTTGGGATGGACATAAAGTAGGTGTCATTAGGTGTTTTTTGTTTACTTCCTTAATTCCGATTGGGAAAACAGATCCAAAAAACACTCCTCGATTGGGGGCCATGGCCTTGGTCTTGGCTCCGACTTCTGGAGGGACTCAGGCTACTGCCTCCCTGCAGGCTCAGCTCAACCTCACACTTTGGAGAACGGAGTCATTTCTAGACCAGGTGCTGGGTTAGGGACTCCCAGAGCATCCCCCTCACAATGTCAAGGAAAGGCAGGGGCCTTGGGCTCTGCCACCACAGAAGAAAGGTCATCAGCCACTGGCTATAACTTTGGCCCATCCTTTTCTCTTTTATTTCTTAGAGCTTCTCTACCCAATATGGAGGTCGCTAGCCACATGGGGCTATTGAGCACTTGAAATACAGGCAATCTGAATGGAGACGCACTGGATACTGAACTCGTCATCTGGAATTCAGGAGAATATGGAATTTATTAGGTAAAAGGATACAATGTAAAACACACCCAGAGCTCCTTTAATTCCTACAATCTTTCCCACCTATAGCCTCCTAAAATCATTTCATACTACGAAATTGCTTATAAAGAATAAGAAGAGCAAAGCTGCTAAAAGTGAGAGACATTAAGCTTGAGGTGGATGACCGGGTCAGATGAGGCCTATTCTGGAGGAGCCCACTGTATGCAGCAGGTCAACACTACAGCCTTCTAGGCCAGGTACTGATGCCAGGGACACCTTGAACATGTGATTGGCTGGAGCTGCTGCCTTGGGGGGAAGACCACTTATTCCCTCAGCGCCTCCTTCATTCACTTCTCTGCCAGAGCCTGCTTCTGCTCAGCGAGTGCCCGAGAGAACCGATGCATAGCTAGAGGGTCCAAAAGAAGACACAGAGAAATGGAATGCGTGAGTTTGCAGGTGGGCCCCAGGCCTCCCCAGGTCATGTTACACATTCACCAAGCCTCCCATTCAGGGACGTTGCACTTTCCCCCACCTTCTTTGGGATGGATTCCCCAGTCTACCGCTGTATCCCCAATGGCTCTTTGAGCTTCACCAGCAGAGCCTGTGCCTGCTGGACACGTTCATTTCTCATTTCAAATCCTGTAACCTGGCTATGGACTTGGACTCATCAAGTTTTCTATTGCCTCCAGTGTCCCTTCACTTAGTTTATACTGCACATTAGCTCAGAATTTATTTCTGTAACATAAATATCCTCTCTGCACTGCTCTACTCCCAGCAGGCAGAAGAGCGTACCACACACGGTGAGATGCAAGAGATCATTGTTGAACATCACGTTCTCATAACCTTCCGAGGACAATCTCAACTCCACAGAATAGCATCCAGGGACATCCACAATCGTCTCCCTGTCTACCTCCCCTACTACGCTCCAGCCTCACAGGGCATAGTCCCACTTCTCATGAGGCCCAATGCCCTGCTCAGTGGCAAGTGCAGATCTTACCTGTTTGCAAAGGAACTTCACCAGAATATGAGAGGACAAACCTTCCGCAGTACAGACAGGCCGTAGCTATAGGCCACTAAAGGCCAGGTAGGGAGGACTCGCATAGTGGGTTACGGGATGGGGGGTGCCAGGGTTGGAACACAGCACCACTCACCGACTTTCAGGTGGGGCATCTTATTCGAATAGGTGAGGCGGAACCAACCAGGCTCATTATACATGTAGAACTTGCCCGGGGACAGGACCAGCTTGTGGTCCAGGAAGCGCTGATGAAGGAGCAGCTCTTTCTCAAACGTGCATGGTTCCAGGTACTAGGGAAGGCAGAGGGACAGAGCTGAGCCTCAGACCCATCAGGCAGGTCGGCCCAAGAACACCTCTCCTCGCTCCCAGAGCTCACCTCTTTCAAGTTCATCCAGACATTGAGGCCAGCGCCACAATTAAAGAAAGGGACCTTCAGTGCCTTCAGCTCGCTGGTGACGTACCTGTGGGCTGCCTGCAGCCGGGAGTGCTTAGTGGGCAGGTACACTTTGTCAATCCATTCTGGGCGGGTGGGGGAAGAATGCTGTCACAGGTCTTGGGACACCCAGCTGCCAAGAATTCTTTACTGTACGCTCCCTACCCGGGCTGCTTAGAAGCTATTCTATCCGACACTGACAATTATATTTGAGCTGATGGCATCCACACCAAACTCACCTCCTACCTCCAGCTCTGGAGGAGACATTGGACTTCTCAATAAACCAGATGGAGTGTCCCATGTGAGTTTACATCCCCGACACTCACACTCAGGGCGCCCCCCTAGCTTGCGCCAATGCTGCTGATGTCAACTGGGCAGGTAGCAGGGACTCACAGCTCCCCTTACCTTCTGCCCCACAGCCTCGCTCAGTGGACTCTGAGGAATCAACACGGGCTTGGCGATGGTCTTAGCCCAGTTGTTCTCGGCACTGGCAGCACACTGGACCATCAGGGGAATTCTGAAAAGTTCTCATGGGTTCATCTGAATCTGAATCTTTGGGGTGGAGCCCACACATCAGTATATAATCTCCCTCCGCAATTCTCATGTTCATCCCAAGGAGAGAACCAGTGTTCAAAGGCCTGGCTCCACTGGGGGACATCTAGATGGACTTCTCCTGTCATCACTTGTACTCACTCAAAGGTGAAAGTAAACTGTTTTCTATACCAGATTAACTGCTTGCTTTAATTTATTTCACTATATCCCAGCTTTTAATTCGAATCAGCTAGACCTGCACGTGCTCTAACACAGGGAATAAAGAAAGGGGCGCTTCTCTGCGCTTGGGCCATGGCATTGAAGGGGGAAGTTCTCCCCGAAGCCAGCAGTCACGTAAGATCCAGGAGGCAGAAGACTCCAGGTGGCCACAAATGTAGCCACGACATGTCTCCCAAGTGACAGCTCTCCCTTGGCCACCTTGAAAGATGAAGTTCCATCATACTTGAGGAGACAGGGGGTTTATTTCTTTGTAATCTTTGCCTGAGCAAGCAGAATGTTGGAAAAGGAAACTGTACCCTGACATAACTGAATATACCCGGACTTTGAGGTTCCCACTTTGAGTCCCAGAGTATGATTGACAATTCCCGCTCCAGGAGGATCACCAGCTACCAGAGAGCCAGAAATGAAAGCCTGTCCTGGGTCTTAGGCCAGCCCCTCCCTCTCCTGACTGCACCCTACTGCAGCAGCTGAGCTGCGCCCTGCCCTCCTTCACACGTCCTGCCCTCCACCGTTAGACCCCACCCGCTGTGCTGAAGGCATGCCCGTGCCAGGCACACCCAGGAATTCCCTATGGCCGTGGGTCACCAAGGGGCCTGGATGGAGCTCAGTACCTCTGTCTTGGAGCAGCCGACACAGCCTGTGCTGGATGATGCCAGGGATGCTGTGGAGGATGCCATATATGCTCACGGCAGAGGCCACCTCCTTGTTGTACGTGTACAGAGCGCCTAAATGGAAGCCAGCGCTCCCAAACAGCTAGAGGAAGAGAGAAAGGGAGGGAATACCTGCTTGATCCTCTGCTGCCCCTGGCTCCTCTTCCTTCCCTACCCAGTGTCAGGCGGCTGGACTCACCTTACCAGTGCCCCAGATCAAATGGGTCCTGTTCGGGTCAGGCAAACTGTGGAAGACATAGTACAATGATGATTATGTAGAAATATTTGAAGGATGAACACTTGGGGTCTATGTGGGCAAAAGCAGAAGTGGGCTGGAGGTTCTTCCTAGACAAAAGTGCCTACAGGGGCAAGGTCAAAAAAACGGTTGCCCCAGTTTAAGCCAAGAAGTCAGCACAAGGCATTTAGTAGGAATAAGATGAGATAGGTCCCAAGTGCCCACTGAACGAAGTCCAGGACTCAGCCTAGCTTGTGGCCTTTCTATAGCTGCTCCAAAGCTACCTCCTTGGCAGCTGGTTCTATACACATGAAGTAAGCCCACCATTTCTACAACATGCTCTTTCACTTCTTCCTGCTTCACCTTTGGTGATACTGCTCCTTCTACCAGGCACCCCATGTTTTGGCTGCTGGAATCCTGTCCTAGGGCCAAACACCATTCTTAAGAAAGTTCTACCTGGTCTCTTCTTTTTCCCTAGGAACTTGTAAAGAAGTTCCGACCCTGAGCTCCAGTAGGGCTTAATCTTCACTTTTGGCAGTGCACTTTTCACATTTTCCTTAAGTTTCTCTCTGTACAAAATAGCATTTAGTAGAAAAGACACTGGCAACGATGGGTGATGCTTTGCTGATTTTCATACCCCAGCTGGCACTTAGTGTAGTTCCTAGCAATTAGCCAATTAACTTGAAGGTGCATGAACTGACCCGGCAAAGTAGGAATTTCATGGTTCTCAATCCAACTCCGGCTGAGACCAACTCACCTTTCCAGGCTCAGAACACTGTGGAATGTGATGGATTCATCAAACACAGTCTCCAAGTAAATTTCATCCACAATCACATGTAGAGTATGCCTGCAAGTTACACACACACACACAAAGGAAACCAGTGTCAGAGTTCTCTCTCTAAACTTAACTCACTTTCTTTTACAGTCCACTCTTGGTACAAAGCAGATACTCCTGCTGCTCCAGCGGCCCATCCAACCCTTCTAAAGGGCACGGTAGGCTAGGAGGGGCTGGCACACCAGAAAGGACCTTCCTCCTGATGCAGGAGTATTTGAAAGGAATAGACTCCGAAAGACATGCTGGAACACCTTACTGAACCTCTCAGTCATCAAGCAGAGACCATTCAGTGGTAACAAGTGGGCTAAGTGCTTTTCCCCACAGGAGCCTGTTGAAGCAGTACTGCTCTCTCCATTTCAGAGGGGAAGAAGCTGGTCTCCAGGACGCAGCGTTAATTCCCGCAACTAGCAGGTTTCAGAGCTGGGATCAGAACCCCGTTCTGCCACCTTCCCGCCCACAACTTCCAGCATTGTCCCTCTCATCCCCGTGTCCTCCTGTCCTCTGCCATTATTTGGCCTGGTTGGTTAGTGAGGAGGCTTGCAATAGTGCCTCTCTTCTAGGAAAGAGGAAATTATCTACCCTGACTCACAGGTCTCTCTCAGGACTCTAGATATATCGGATGTGAACATGACTTAGGAACGGGACAGGAAAGTTCTATGGGGACGTGTCTTCACCTTGACACCACAAGGTCTGAAGGTCTCACTTCCTCAGCACCTCAGGCCAACTAATTTAGAAAATGGAAGCTAAGAAAGAGCTTAAGCTACAAGCTGTGGGAAAGCAACGGAACTGTATGATGGTTGTCAGGTAGGCGTGTGCACAGGGATGAGACGAGAAAGGAACGGGCAACAAGACGTGGTGGCAGCAGGAAGCATGTGGTGCACTTTCCTTCACTGCCAGTTCAGTTGGCTGTATGCCACTGTGCAGAGTACGGTGAGCAGTGAGAACACTTAGGGTAAGTTATTTCCAGTACTGACTTCCTGCCCATGAATTCATCTAGTCTCAAGGAGTGAACTCTTACCTCTTGGCAAATTCCAGGTATTCCTTCAGTGAGTCCCGGGAGTAGACGTCTCCCAGGGGATTTTGAGGGTTGATGAGCATAAGACCTTTCACCTTCTGCCCCTGAAAGAGCCAAACGAAACCCAGCGAACACACATCCTTCACTTCAACTTCAAGTTCAGCCACAGATGAGTCTGGACACCCAGTTTTGGTCACCTAATCAGGTAGGACCTCGCAGCAACCACCACTCTGCCCACAGAGCAGAGCAAGAAGGAGCCCTGGGGACCATCACTGAGAGTGCTCTCAGGGAAACATGGCCCTGGACACCACTTCTGAAGAAGGAGCCCACACAGTCCTGGTGAGCAAGTGGTAGCAGAGTCTCGGCATGAAGCCGTTCAGGGGCAGCAGTGCCCACCCTGACACATGGGCCGCCCCTTACCTTAAGCTGAGCCTCATGCAGTGCATTCTCCAACTTGCCCACAGTCAGCTGGAACAGACGGGAGTTCTCCGCTGTGACCTGGAACACAGGCACTGTCTGAGGACCGCCTACTGGGAAGCTTCTAAGCTTTGATCCTCCCTTCCTATCGGCCCCAAACTATCCTTTGTCTTCACACCCAGGGCACCAGTCCCACATGCCCTCTTTGCCCTGATTTCTCCATCCGCCCCCACCATCTTTTCACCTTCAAATACCCCCAGAACATTCCATTGCCCTGGTGGGCTGAGCAGGGAAAGGGGTCCCATTCTGACCTCACTGTTCAGGTGGACATAAATCAGCTCGACTTTTGAATACAGGTGAGCAGTGAGGCTGAAGCCAGGATAGGAGGGGCTGGGGACCAGAAAGGCCTCTGGAAGAGCAGGGAGATGAGCTGTCAGTCCAGGTCCCTTAGTCAGGACCTCCCAGGCACCACCCAACCCCCAGGCCAGCAGCAGCCCTCCCACCGAGGCCGGGACTCTGGCAGCTCCTCCTACTGGGGGACTCAGGTTTTGGGACTCGGGCTTTGTAAAAGATAGTCATTCTTATAAAGAACATTTGGAGAGCAAAACTTGTGTCCCCTTGGGCTTATTCTAGAGAAGGAGACAAGGGAAGAACAGCGCTGTGAATGGCTGAGCAACCAGGGCAGAAATCTCGCCAGCCTGCTAGCAAGGTGAGCTCCAGTCGCTCGCAAACACTGGTCAGCTCTGGGGCCAGCACCAGAGGCAGAGGTCCCTGCACAGGGCAGGCTCTTGTCTCTCCGCATGACTCAGGGTATCTGCACCTTCTGGTCTCACGTGCTCTTTTCCTCCCATCCATTTGGCCTCACTGATAAGCAGCTGAAGACCTACTGGGTCTGAAGGAAACTGGCCACCACGGTAACCTGCTTCCATGTGGTCAAAGCGCACTAAGGTCTGAGACTCTTCTTTGCAGGAGGAGGGGCATTGAGAACAGATGCCTCAGCCTTATTTGACCTAGAATTCATTAGGTTTTTTTGTTGTTGTTAAGGAGAAGGAGGAGGGGATAGAAATTGTATATGGTTTAAGCCCATTTACCAGGTCTCTGTATTGGAGTTGAGCCCCACCGCCCAGCACCTATGTGCTGCTATTTCCCTGAGCTAATGCAGAGCCCACTAACTTACCACCTGGATCACACAGAACCATGGACAGCGCCGAGAAGACAGGGAGGCACGCATTTACAACCACCACCTGGAGAAGATGCACAGAAGGCAGAAGTCAGAAACCGGTCCCCATGAAAGCCTGGTCCCTGGTCTATCCTTGCCTGTGTAGGGACTGGCACCAGCGGTCCTCACATGGGACCCATGGACCTTCACTGTGTCCTGGCTTGGGGGGGTCTCTGCTCATTCCTCCTGTACCTCCTAAAAACTGCAGAGAGTCCCTCAACAGTAGAGCCCTCCAGTGGGATGGCAGTGGGGCCAGGAAACTGACTCACATTTTCAGGATCCAGCGGCGCAGGTGCCTTGCAATAGTCAGTCAGGAACCGGGCCACTTCTTCTCGCAGGCTGTGGACAGACCCAGAGAGACTTCGTGGTTTCCAGGTCTAGATTTCAATCCTTTCCAAAGGACTAAGTATCCCAACATGCTACAGGGCTTCTGACTGAGGCTATCAATTTTCCTGGTGATAAACAGTAAATCTGGATATGATCTTAGGCCTTTGTAATTGAACAGCAGTGCTATTTGTACTACACCAGGTTACTTCGCAATGAGGAACTCCAGGCATTGTCTCAAGGTTACTACACAAAGAAGTGCAAGTAACCAGCTAAGAATCTGGCACTTGGAATCATGCCCTGCATGAAGGCTGGTGCCTGTAGACTAGGGGACCATAGGTCTGGAGGCCACTTACTTTGCTTGTCCTTTGTAGTCAGAATATTGCAGAAGGGTGTCATCAATATAGTTCATGTCGCTCTGACTCAACTGTTGACAAATAAAACATGAAGACAGCCAGACCGGGAAAGCCCAAGTTTTCATCTTACTGCTAGGATGCAGGTGGGTGTCTGCCCCACAACACAGGGCCTCCCAGCAGCCACTGGGGCCACACCCTGCATGATTCTCAATGAAAGGAAGCTTCAACCTTCTTATCAGAGATCACACAAATAGGTAACTCACTGGGAAGTGTTTAACCACCTCCCCAATCAAACACTTGAGCCAGAGCCTCCCTTGGCAGCCCACCCCAATCTACCCCATCCAGAGAACACCTCTGAATACTCAGAGAATCCAGGAGGTCCTTTGTGCTAGTCTAGAAGCTATCTCCCCACACCCCTCCCCAATCAACTAAGTCCCACTCCCATACCTACCATATGCTAGAGGGACTGGGCCTGAATATGGACCCCAACACAGCCCAGAGCTAGACTTACCCTTTCAGTTATCAGGCCAGTGCAGAGCTTGTTCTCAGTAATACTAAGGTTAATGAAGCCCTGGAGATGAAAGGAATCTGAGATCAGACTTTTTGCCCAGCCTGAGTGGACCCCTTTCAATATGTCCAAAAATACTAACCCCACATGACTTTAGATGGAGAGCTCATTATCCCATGAGGCAATTCACTCCATGTTTAAGTGTTTGAAAACTTTCCACAGACCCAAAATTGTTCAACTTGCAATTTTTCTCCTTTAGAGCCATAGAAATCAATAATAGTTCTATTAGGTACCAGCTAGCAGTCACTGAGTTCTTTTATGTGCCAGGCACTAGACTAAGTGCTCCATGTGAGCTGTTCACAATTCCACAACTCCTGAGGAGAAGTTCTATAATGATCCCCACCCTAAAGGGAGTGAAACTCAGAGGGTGAATAACCTACTAGTCCTGTGACCTTGGTGATGGGTAGACTCTACCTGCCTACCCCAGAGCCAGGGCCCTTAAGAACCACAGGTCCTGCCTCTTACCCATCTTTGCTGTTTCCACCTCCATGCATGGGCCCTTCAAGTTATGAGAAGAGGCACATTCCCTGACTATCCAGGGAGATATGTGATTTCCTTGGCCCCCAGAAAAGCATATGGCCATTGAGCACATATCCCTTAGCTAGAAGCACAAGAGATGGTATGACTTGTGCTGTCCCCCAATTCTGGCTGGACAGCTACTGTGACCCTCCCATGCTGGAAGTCTTCCTCTGTCTCCCTATCACCATTAGGAAAATGTCCTAACACCTCACAATGTCCTACCTCTTGTCCCAGTGCTCATTGCCTCTACTCCAGCCACAGGGGCCTCCTTTTCCATCCACTCTGAGCCCTTCTCACCTAAAACTTTCACACGTGCTGCTCCTCCCTCCCGGAGGGCCCCCCTTCCCACCTCCACCACCACCACAGGCTGGCTGGTTCAGCCCTCAAGACTCCTTCCCAGACCACCCAGAGCTGGCGTCCCCTCAGTGCTCTTAGAGACATTATTAATGTTCCTTTCCCAATGGTTAACAACGTTCGCCACCAGACTGAGTTCCCTGAGGGCAGACTGACTTACACCTGTGACCACAGAGAACTCCAGGTGGGTAAGAGCAGGCATTTAGGAACTGCAAGCAGAGGAAAGAGGGGAACCCTGTCCCAGCTCTCCACCTTTCTTTATGTTGTGCCCGTTCCCTGAGCTATAAGAAGATAATACCACCTACTTTGCAGGGCTAGGAGGAGTAAGTGAGAGAGCACAGTACATGGCACAGGACTCAGTAATTCCTAGTGCCTGGCGCTCTCTAGTGTGGCCCTCTCCCCATCCTCACCGAGGTATTCTTGTCTTCATCATAGTTGTCTTTTAGGTAGGTCACGAAGGTCTGGACGAAGGAGCTGTATGATGCAGTGATGTCATTACCATGGTTGGACAGAACATTGCTGACAAATGCAGCCTCCAAGTGATTCAGCTGGTAACTCAGCTCGTCAGGCTGCCTGGACGATTGGGCCTGGTGCCTACCTCCAACATCACCGCTGGAGTCCAGGGAAAGGCGAGACAGTGGGAGCTCTGGGCCACCTGTGGCCCCAGACTGTAAGAGGTTGACCACCTGGTACATTGAGTGGATGAGGCTGGCTTTCTGCTCCTTGGTGGCCTCATTGTGCCTCCCCTCCTCTGGCACCACATCCTGCCACAGACGCCTGGTCTCCAGCTGCATGACGTAGTCCTCTATGGCCTTCTGCAAGCGTAGGATCAGCTCCATCAGCTGGGTGTCAGGGATCTGGGTTCCGAGACCCTGGCCCTTCATCTGGCCACAGGGCTTGTGGAGGGTGTCTGATCGGAGACTCATAGTCTGGGTCTTTGTTCTGGGCTCACCACGTTAGCCCAAACCTGCAGAGAAGGAGAGGGACCATGCACTGCAGCGGAGTAGACTCCACCTGACCCTTAGGTAGGCCTCATCTCAAGCTGGCCTCTGTTTCATGCCACCTTCATGCCTTGTCCTGGGCCCTAACTGGCTCAGAAAGTGTGACCTACTCATTCAAGGGCAATGCCTAAGTGGCCCTCAACCCGGGCACTGGAGCAGTGTGCTGTTGCCATTTAAATGTTTCCTCAGGAAAAAAGAACCTTAGGGCCTACTTTGAGGGAAAGAGGCCACTGAACAGATAGGGTCTGAGTTCTCTACCCCGTGTTTGAACCAGAGCGGTTCTTGCTTTACAGTGTTCTAAGAAAGATAAGGGCTGCTGCTGTTGTAATGCAGAAGGAAGAAGGGAAGGAAATAAAGAGAGTGGTGGTTGGGGAGTGGGATAAAGGTGAGAGGGAGGGAGGAAGGAAGAAAGTAGGAGGTCTGTCCAGAAAGTATCCCACCATGCGCTATTGGAAAAAAAAGGATACAAGATGCAAGAAAGGTTGTACATGGGACAACGGTGCCTCAGGCCCCTTTAAAGCAGGCACCTTGGGACCTCACACAGTTCTCCCAATTGCCATAGCTGCCCCGTCGTATTTTCCTGAATCTCACTGAAGGTCTGAAATCTCTTCCTTTTCAAATGTGATTTTAATTTCGGGAAAAGCCAGAAGTTGCAGGGCACCAAATCTGAGCTGTAGTGGGGAGCTGAGTCAAATCACCTGGGTGATTTGATGTTTCACTGAAAAACTCTGCATGAGATATGGTTCATGAGTAAGTGTGTTGTCATGATGAAGCTGCCAGTCACCAGTTGCCCATTGCTGTGGCCTTCTGAATCACCCAAATAGTTTCTGCAGAGGAATGTTCAAGCTTAATGCAAAATTCGATGCAGATTCAGTGCTCTACTTGCTCAGTCACTTGAATGTGAGGGTCACACAGTACACATGCTCACTCAATGCATCTACCACACCCACCAGCTAGTACAGTGAAGTCGTCATTGCTCATGCATGCACATTCCAGAGGACTCTCCTTGGTTGCCAGGTTACATTCATGTTGTTCAAACCCTCCTCATTATATTAACAATGGTTGGACTTTTTCTAGTCAGACCTTGTGTACCATTCTGCTAAAACAATGGTTAGTGAACTTTTACCCCAGGACCCAACCCAGCCAGCCACCTCCTTTTGTAAATGAGTTTTAGTGGATCACAGTCACATTTGTCCCAGTGTCTATGCATTACCGGTGGCTGCTTTGGTACAGCACTAAAGAATGAATAGTTGTCACACAGATCATAGGCCTGAAGTATTTACTAAATGGCCCTTGACAGACAAGGTTTGCCAAGTCTTGACTAGAACATCAACTTTCCTTACACCTATTTGCTCATTTGCTACACCAGACGTTCATCACTAAGTCTTTCCATCCTCCATCATTGTATCACTTCTTGTAAACGCCTTCAACCAGTGGCAGCTGCCTCAGAATTTCATCACTAAGTAGCCATGGCCAGATACATGGTTATTAAACTCTGAAGGCTACTGGACTCACTTGGAGGGCTTTTTAGAACAGAGATGGCTAGGCCTCAGAGCCAGACTCAGACTCAGATGTCTAGTTGGTGCCTGAAACTGTCAGCTATAAAGTGTACCAGGAACTATACATATTTTGAGAACTTCTAACTACTCAGATCAACTTTCTGTCTGAAAAAAGGAAAAATTCTGGATAAGACCTAAGAAATTCCTTTTTAAATCCTCGGGAAAAAAAAAATCAGTATTGTCAGGTGGTTTGAATACTTAACGAACTCTAGAGGACCACTGGAGCAAGTGAATGTCAACTCAACCACAAACGAGCTACGAACCTTCCCTGTGTCTGGGAAAGCCATGATTGACCGCAGGTTGAAACGGGTCAGCCTAGGGCGGACGGACAACTTGACAAGGAAGCATGGAGTGATCGCCACATAGTGGGTCTCAGGGGCCCAGCTCTACGTGACTGAGTGTCCTTGACAAACCCACCCGGCCTACCTGGCCCTCAGTTTCTCCTCGTTAAAGTAGGAAGGACCTGACACCTGCCTCACAGAAGGTGATGTGAAGGCTAAATAGGAGGACATGCCAAAATGATAGGGCAGGTAGGACCGCCCCATACCTGTGTCTCTTTCACCTGGTCAGCTCCTGCCCTGCCTTCCCTGGCGGAGGACCAATAGGAGCAAACCCAAAGCAGCCTGTGGTCAAAGGTTCCCTGCCTTGTGATGTTGTCCAGCTTCCCAGTCGGCGCTGGTTTAAAGTGCAGATGCCTGGGCTCCCCCAAGGGTTCTGACTCAGGAGGCCTCAGACTGGGCCCGGGAGCCTGCACGGTCAAGCTGCCTACCGCATAAAGCACACTGGGCGGGCAGCGCACAGGGCCTTGGCTCCGGCTGGGTCCCAACGCCTGTGCTGCTCTGTCCCCAGCTACCTGCTTGGCCCTCCTCTTGGAGGCCTGCTACTATAAACACCCACGTAATTCCACAGGAATAAGAACAGCCTTACAATCCTGTAGATGGAGCCTGGTCTCCGAGTTGTACCAGGGGACCTGAGTGGAGGACCTGAGGAAGAGCAATGCCATGATGTTGGGTTTCAGTGGCTCTGTCCCACTGAACTCACCTTCCTCCAGTTGAGCTGAGGATTGGCTCACGGATACCCTCTGGGGAACCTTCTTCTGCCAACTGGTTCTCCTGCAGGCCCTGTTGTTCAAAGGGACTGCAGGTGCTCCCTCCTCCACAAGGCCTGGGCCATGTTCCAGCCCATCAGAGCTCGGCCCTCCTCCGAGGTCCCAAGCAATTTGCTGCCTTCTCTGACCTGAACACTCACACCCAATCAGATGGTAGAGACCTCATAGAGAGAGAACTCTCCTTTGCTTGCACCTCCCTTTAGCCTTTAGGGGATGGACACAGAGTAGGAGTCATTAGCTGTTTTTTGTTCACTTGCTTACTTTTGACATGGGAAAAGAGGTGACAGCAAATGGACAGCATATGAAACAAATGGAGCTGAACAAGTGCTGAGAAGGAAACCCACGCTGGGTTAAGGATTGAGACCATGAGGAAGCCTACACAGGTAGAGTAGTTAGACAAAGACCCACAGGAAGGGAGGAGCAGTCCCTGTGCCTCTCCTGTGACTACTGTCCCAGGCAGAGCTCCCCAAGGGCAAAGGCCTGAGGTGGGAGCCTGTGTTGCTGTATGTGAGGAAGCACTCTCCTAGGGTTTGATGGACTTTGACAGGGGCTTTGGCTTTTCTTCCAAGCATGATGGGAAGACAGTACCGGTCTTCCAGAGCTGACGTGTGAGTGACTGGCTGCCTTGTGGAGCCGCCTGGGCTTCCCAACCACTCAGGACACCTTGGGCTATGGGAGCTGTGTTCCTGGCTTGGATTCACTGGCTGTCATTGCTGCAAAGATCACCATTGCCCCTAGAAAGCCCAAGGCCCTCCTCTGAAGTTTGTGGAACCCCAAGACGACATTCTCAATCAGGCTGCATCAGAGTCACCCGGGAAGCTCCCCCCTAAACCAATGCCAAGTTCCACCTGTGCCCCACTGACCGAGGGGATGAACATTGCTCATCTGGAGCCACGCAGTGTCTTCGAGTGCCCGTGGCTGGGCCTCTCATTCTGCCCCTTAAAATCATACCGGCCTCCACGTTTTCATGTAAAAGGGATGAGAAGGTACACAGCTTTCACCAAGCTCCCCTAGAGATCCAGAATCATATTCTAAGGCAAAGTGGGTCTGCCAGGGAAAGCCTGATTAGAGCCCATGACCCAGGGTGCTCACTGCCCCTTCGCCCTCCCATCCTTTACCCTTCCCCACCCCCACGCCCCCGCCAATGCCTTTGCTCTGGCTCTTCCATCTCTTTCCTCTGCTTAGATTGATTTTGATGGCAGCATCTCCCTTCCTTCCAGCGTTTAGTATGCTGCCAGCATTCAATACGTCTTCAAATATGAATAAGCCACTCTCCTTGCCAGACCTGCAGCTCAGCTAAGTCAGTCTCCTCCAGGCTCTTTCTCTTTGCTCTTCACCAAGGTCTTCTTGCTTCTTCTATCACAGAGGACTTTGTTCCAACCACCCTGTCCTCCCCATACTCAGGACTCAGTATAATGCTTAGAACACAAAGAAGGTATTTTGTTTCATTTCCACAGACACGATCTCTGCTTGTCAGCCATCCTTCAAAGCCCAGGTGTCCCCTTCCAGAGCCCTGGCCCACGGATAAAGACCAAGTGGCCTTGGCCTGGGTGTGCTGGGGGAAGACACGCAGGAGACGGTGGCAGTGGGGTCACTGGCTGGCCTGGCTCCCTGCGGGACAGTGCTGTCTCGCTTTGTCAGGCACTGAATTCCTCTGCTTCTTGTTTGGACCTGCTTGCTGTGATCTTCTGAGATGTTCCTTTTCCTATATGACGTTGGCATAGTGTAGTGTCCTCTGTATGAAGTCGTTGTCAAGTGTCCGGTGTTCAAGTTACAGATTCAAGGCCCATCTAAGCACTTAAAATTGTGTGGCTGTAAGTTATTATGTCTGGGGACAATTTCTCATCCGTGAAGAGACATGAGTGAGCTGGGGTTGAGAGGATCACATGAAATTAATGAATTTAAATTTGAGCCTCTCCTTCCAAATTCTGTCCGGCCTTCTACCACACCATTCCTTCACTTCATCAGTAAGACGCTCATTCTCTCAATCCATTTTTTACTGAACCCTACTGTGCACTCACCAGTCTCCCCAGCCAGTAGCCATTGCAAGGAATCTTCTGGAGGGCGCTGACTCCTTCCCGCCGCACCCTGGAGACCTAGATGACGACGAGCCGAGAGTTTCTATTGCACTGTTTCTTCCAGTCACACCACATTGCAACTCCCTCTCCACCGGGAAATCTCTTCACAGGAAATCTCTTTTTCACTGAAGAGACTGCTCTGACTTATTGACTGTTACTAACCTGGGTCTTCCCTCAAAT